AGAAATCTTTACTGCATAATAAAGACAAGGTATAATTACAAGGCCGAAAACGATCAGGAAGAGAATGGGCTGTGCTTCAATCCACTGTCCTCTTGCCGACTGCAAACTAAAAACAGTGATCGCTAAAAAAGCAAAAAGCATAAAAGGCTTTACATTTCTCGCCATTTTGGAAGTCAGTTTATATTGCTCTTCAATATTATTTTTAGTCATTCGTGATTTATAAAGAGCAGGTTTAAAAGAAACAAGGGTCATAAAACCATACAGAGCAAGACTAATAAGAAAAAACACACAGAATCCGGTTTTACTACTAAAACCATTTAATGTACTTGATGCATTGAAGTGTTCGCCGGCGTCAGGCAAAGTGGCACTAGGAGCTGCTTGCAGATTCAAGCAGACACGTCGGAGGTGCAGTGTAACCGCAGGAAATAGTAGCCGCAGACGTAAGAGAAAAAAGATAAATCACAAATATGTCGTAAAAATTCCCTACGACGTACATAACACAGCAATTCCTTCGTTAAAGGCAAAGTTCGGGCTCAGACCCACCTAAGAAGCCCTTACCATGGCTAGAAGTGCTGGGTACGCAAGTGCAAAGGTAGCGCCACCTTTCTACATCGAAACGCGTCACTAGGACCCTAGGCGCCATGGACTTCTAACAGACTCCACCAAACTTAACATGGTCCGCCCACCGATATCTTGTCTGCGTCGCCACGTTGATCTGCTATGCTCTCTCTTCTCGGACTTCTCTACCGCTCTCCGCGCTCACATTATCTCTCATCTCCCTGCCTGTCTTTTGAACTTCTCCACAGCATGGAGCAAAATGCTCGTATTTCCTGTGTATTTCAGGATTTTCTTTCCTTTTTTCTCCACTGGCGGTCCACCTCCCATCCCTACTTTCACATTTGAGTGGAATCACCCCATCAATTTAATCCTGATTCTTGCCTTTAAAGAGCGTTAACGCGATTCACTCCCATGATTAAGACTTTCAATGACTGGAACTTTCCTTATATTCTATAGATCGCCCACGCTTAACGTCTTTACCGATTAATGCTTTCCCTGATGGCCAAGCTAAGCGTTGAAAAAGTTTCAGGCCGGACATGACGTTCATTGGCCATTCCGATCCGATCGTTTTTAGAAGCCAGCCATTTGCGAACACGCACATCAGACATTATTCTGTGGAAGAAAAACGTCCGCATGCAACCCGTACACAGATCCTGCATTGACCGTATCCTTGATGTAAGGGCCTGGAGGCCCCGACCTCCATCTGTCCCCAGCCCATCGTTTAGAAACTTCCTTCTCCCTCCCTTCTCCGTCAAAATCACTTCCAGTCCCATTTCTCCTCAGTCGTCCTGGCTGTCTTTCGTTTCCTGGAAACTTCGAGCTAGCAGTACTCCGCTTCAAATTCATCTCTTTATTGAAGATTTGCTCGGACTTTATACCCTGGGCAGGGCCAACTACTGTATTGAGGAATCTGGCACCGGCTCGACAGCCACCCTCACGCTCCCCTGCACTTCCTAAGAAGTGTCCTCATACTTCTGAATTCCGAATCTAACTCCCATTCCAAGAGTCCGTCGAGTGCTGATTGTGAGAAGGGAATGTAATAAGCAATAACCCCAACAACAAATACTGCCGAAATTCCTGAATTCCGGAAGAAATTGAGTCACACCTCAAAAATCCCT